GACGAATACATTCGATAACCCGACCGGATATCACGAACACTTCAACCATTTCAATCTGAATGACAATATTCACCAATACTCGGACACATCACAGTCCGTTTTTCCCGAAATTTCATATCACCCTTCTACCGATGTCCCACAGTTTATTATTACCCACAATTGACCCTTATTTCCGATATCTTGAAGGCGAAAAGAAGAAACCATTTTGCCAAAATAGGGTAGCTGGGTAACAAGATCAGTTCTACATCAGTAGCAAACGAAAAACCATTATTGGGCTTATGACCTTACAAACCCATTGTTTCCGATGGCACTGGATTTCATTTTTGTGAGTCTGTGGCCCTGTATACGTATCGTGTAGACAAGTTTTGCTATCTGGGCAGCTATATCTCACCCGGTGGACAAATCATGGATGAGGTGTCAGCTAGCATACAGAAGGCTCGATCGGCATTTGTCAACTGGAGACATCTGTGGTGCCGTCGCGACATCCCGCTGTCTGTTAAGGGTCGAGTTAACGGCAGTTCAGCCAGTTCTGCTATACGGCGCAGAAACTTGGCCATTAAGGAAACAGGGTAAGGATAGACTGTTGATGTTCGAATGCCGCTGTCTACGCCGCATTGCACGAGTCTGGTGGGGTAGCAGGACCAGCAATACTGAGGTTAGGCGCCGAGTTTTGGGTAAATGCGGTCTCCCACTGGAGCAAATGGTCGACCTCCATAGATTACGCTGTTTGGGGTGTGTTACGCATGTCACCAGATAGGTTGCCACGGCGAGCGATGTTCACCGATGCAGGTAGTGGGTAGAAGAAAGACAACGGTGGTCAAGCTGAGACCTGGCATGAAGGTATGAAAACCCTTACCAGGAGACTAGGTCACATAGGCTCCTTGGCTGGGCACCTCGGGATGATCATACCCGATGTTTAGAGATACTGAGTGATATGGCTGGGTGTCGCAAACAGTGGCGTTCGTGCATCTTGTCCACTTCTCTACAAAACTAGTGCAATGAAATCCTAAATTTTCTCTTCCACCCTACTTCAACCTTTCCTGTCTTTCTACTAATGTTCATCCAAATGGGTAGCCAAAAGACAGCAACCAAAACCGGCGCACGATAGCGCATGGTTAATGGTTGTAGAAACTGAACCGAATTCAACTGATAGGTATCGTGTTAATGAACCGCCTTGTTTTCTAGCCCACTAATGGATGTATATCGCTTGGAGCACTGTATAAATTTGTCTGGATAGGCCTTTGGGAACCAGTCCATTTATGAATCAGTACTGTGATTCGATGTTCTTTAGGTGTATACCAAATAGTCCAGTTTCCCCTCAATATTTTGCATTTGTAGCAAAATCATAAATAGTCGTTTGTCTTGGCTCGGTTTTCCTTTGGAAATCAACAAGCACTTTGTTTTCGACCAGATGCACGGTCACGAGAATGCCCATTTAGTTTTTTACTTGTTTGCTTATCTTCTACTAAAGACAAAACGTACCCCGGTAACTATTTCCGGAACGTGCAGTTGAAAGGCCAAATCACACCTTGGTCCATCGTGTTTTAACACTGAATAACAGTTTTTTTAGGCAGTCATGCTAAGTTTACATCATAGAATGCTTCGACTTTGTTATGGCAAGGGAACGTTTTATATAAGTGGTAAAATAAAGCCCTTCATAAATTATCCTTTACCTCATAGTACAATAATCTTTATAAAATGGGCAAGTTACACGATTTGTTGTACTATGATTTGTTTGGCATACAGTCTGGATTCAGACGTATGTGAAATACAAATACAATCCATCTCATAATATCGATCCTTGCATATTCTCCACATTGCCGAATCGTTACATTGAAAACAGATCAAACAGTAGAGAGAGAGTTATCTTTTTCACACAGTGCTATCCATCACTGAATCGTTTTGTGCAACAGTGTGTGCATTTGACTATGTTTTCGTATGGGCAGTCTAGCCCCTAGCGTGACAATTGGTTGTTGTTTTTTGTTGTTGTCGTTTTCTCTTCACCCCTTTGCACGGTTTAGTATCTGTTAAACACTGATGTTTCTTATCAATAGGTAGTCAAAACAAGAATGGGAATGGGAAACCTAATGCCTTTTACGTTCCTGTTTTCAATCTGCTGGCCATTGGGAATGACAGTTGACAGCAAACGGGTATATAGTAGTAGAACAGTGTGAATTCACTAGAGATGCAATTTGCATTTGAACTTTTGGAATAAACAACGCTTTGATGAAATCATTCGTGCGTGAGTGTGTGTTGTGACTTGGGCATTGATCGATCCAATATGGCATGATCCGCCAACAATAATAAGGTATCGCACTAGATCCTAAAGTAAAAGTTTGTTGTCTCTTCTTGTTTGAACTATTGATTACGAAGACCCAAAATATATTGTTGGGACAAGTTGTTCATCTGTGTTCACTGTGAAATATACACTGGCGAATTTCAATCTGACCTTGTAAAATCGAACGGTCTTTCCCCCGTCACGCCTTATGTGCCTGAGGGTTGTGAATTACCATTAACCCTAGGTCGGAATTAATGAATTAGTAAAAACAAACACTTGCTTGGCGTATGTGGTGACCTTTACTGTTTATGATCATTGGATGTCGTTCAGGCATCTTTTGGACCAGATTCCGAACCGTTTCGGTTTATAGTTGTTTTATTCGTGCAGAATGGTTGACTTCAATTGAGTTACATGCATACACACACACACAACTAAACATACTTCAATCCATTCGGATCCTCCTCGTTCAAGGCCACTTTCAGTAAGGTTTGGATCCCGATTCCAGCCCTACCGGTCCATATCATCATATTATGGCACGATATATATATATATATATTACACCGGCTTGCGGACAAGCAAGGTGCCAACACCACAACAATAATAACAATAACAACAACTGGAGGGGGGTTGGGATGCAGAACATAGGAAATAAGACGGAACTGTTGAAATGGAAAATTACGAATAAATGGGATAACAATATTTTTGTGTTTCACCGTACACTTTTTGCCAGAGGTACTTTGTGTTTATCACACTAAAAAGCACCACGGAATGCAATCGGTTTTACTCCATTGTAAGGGCAAAGATCAGTCAAGATTTTAATGCACATATCTGCTGTCTGATTAACGATGAGTTTGGATTGCCCATTATACAAATGCTACTTTCCGATCATCAACAGTGTCCCCATGGAAGGCTCGACGGGTAGAATATCGGTTNTGCGCGGACTCGTTAGAATTGTTTAATTGGGGCTTACACGGGAACCCTGCCCTCAATCCTGAAGACTGAACAACCTCTTGTCACAGTACTCCCACCCTTATAGAGGCAGTCAGTTATCCTGGGCTCGGATTTCTTTGTTTTGTATTGTAGATGTGTTACTAAAGTGGCTGTATCTACCGCCCATTGATATATAGCTTCATGGACCCCTTTCATTTTCGATCATTGCTAGTCATCAAAACATATTCCATCAAAAATGAAAAGCGTTTAACATGTGGAAAATAAACGAAGAGCAAGAAAAATGGTCTGATGCATTTACGAATCGAATGAGGTCACTCAAAGATATTTTAAATCGATTAAAAAGTGATTTCCAATTGGAACAGCTATTTACTCATGTTGTTGACTGTTGGCCGTGTAGCTTGATTTCAGTCCCAACGAGGAAACAAACTGGAAGTGGTGCTGACGGGTCCTAACCAGGACGAAACAACTATCCAGTGCTATTTGTCGGGTACTTATTGCAAAGGAAAAGCCTTTTTC